AGAGCGGCGGGCCTCTGGCCAGCCAGTGATTCTGAGGCAGGGACATTGCTGCTCCCTCACCTCACCTGCAGACCCCCAGCCCAAGCGCCCACCCCCTAGGTAAGTGGTTATTACTTTTCTGCTTCTGATTTTTCAGCTTCTTATTCTCTTGTTAATTTCCTGGTCTTCCTCCTCCCACAGCCTCTCCTGTCCCCAGCAGCAGGCCACTGACCCTTTGGCAGGCCTCTGGCGAAATCTCACCGCGCTAATGCGCGGCGTGTGACTTTTTCTTTATTACTGTGTGTGTGTTTTTTAATTTGTTTTTTTCTTGTGTTGTTTCACCTAATACCCTCTCCTCTTCATCTTCCACCCTGACAGAAGGACTACACAGGTCTATAATCAGATATCTGAAATCTTCCAACAACCTAACTTTCTCTTGGATCTTCCCTTGTACTGATCCACCTGAAAAAAAATGAGATATTACTTTTCAGACACCTCAATACAGTACCCCTCTTGATACCACATGGGCTAAAACAACAGGAGAGAGACTTCGGCAAACATTAATTTGCAGCAAAAGTGAAAGTCACTTACTTCTAGTTGGAGTAACCTTCCCGCAAGAGGTATTCAAAGTGATTACATGAATACATCTTCCAATGGCTAGAAGGAGAAGAAGAGCCTCAGGTATGAATAAACAAGGAAATACGTCTCCATCAAAGGTACAGAAAAATTCCCCTCCATCTTTCGTGCTAATGGACGATGTTACCAAAATGTCAAACAATTTTGTACATTTATGGTGAATAAATTCTTTGAGTTGGAACAGAAAGGAGACAACAAACTACAGATGATGAGAAAGTCATTCCAAGATATGAAAGAAGAAATGGACACTCTGAGAAAGAACCAGATGGAGCTATTAGAAATAAAGACTGGAATAGAGGAAATCAAAAACTCCCTTGAAAGTATTAAAAGTCGATTAGACCATGCTGAAAATCGAATCTCTGATGTAGAAGATAAAACCTCTGACCTAGAAAGAACCACCAAAAAGATAGAGAAAATAACAA